GATGACTGTTGTTGATCATTCAGCTCCCCTTCCTCAACATTTATTTCTGAAGGTCCAGCAGTACTGGCAATAGGAATAAGAGCAGAACCTGACCGATCATTGTCATTAGTCTTAGCCTTTCCCTTGCGATTTACAACCGTAACCTGTCTCTCTCCATATGTTTCATCTGCACCAATATTAGATTGCAGGTCAAAACTACAATTCACCACTTGAAATGATAAACTATTAGTTAAATGCCCAATTTTTCAAGAAAATAAATATCCTCAACCAACCACTCTGGGATGCCTGACACCATTTTCTTTTTCACTTTTTTAACTTAACATTAGACTGTCTGAACACTAACTTGTACCCCAACCTTCAAAGTCTGACAATAAAAAAGCTTTAAAATAACCCCAATCCACAAGAAGAGTATAGAAGAAACTGGATACCTTCATCGCTAGAGATGCTAGAATCAGATTCCGAAGGCAGCACATAATCATCAGAACTATCACTGCGCTCTTCCACAGAGCCTGTTTCAACATTGGGACAACAAGATTCAAAAACAACAATACAAACACTCAGTTTGGCTCTCGAGCAATTAGACCAGAATCTGCTTCAATAAGCACTGATCAAAAACTAATGAGAACAGAGCAGCTACATTAACGCCAAAAAGATAAAGGAAGACAGAAAAAGGCGAGCAAACAATTCTTCTTGCTTGTCAAACAACGAAAATCCCAAGTACAATTTAATTGTCAGGAAATTAGTGCTTATTTCCTGGAGAGCATATTAATTAATAAATATAAATACTATAGAAAGAGAAAAAGAAGGGTGGCAACAGAAAAATGAAGAATTTCTGTCACCAAACCACCCAGAGTCCCGTAGCAGAACTTCCATTATCACGAGAAAAAGTCGCATTTAATCGCAAAATAAAAACCAACAAAGAAGCCGATCAACGAAGAACAAACAGGAGTTTTGCCCAATTCCACGCAAAACAAAAAAGATATCTGATAGATAATTTTCTTCCTCGTTTTCCCCCATTTTCTCCGAAATAATCAAGGAAACCTTCACATAGTCGTAAAAGAAAGCACGAAATCGAAAAGAATAAATAACAAGAAGAATTACCTTCAATCGGGGGTTTGGCGATTCTTTTTCGAGGACGGAGCTCCATTGTAGGGAGAGAAAAAAACGTAAGTGTTTCCGATCGTTTTAGGAGATGACCGAGAGAGAGGGTTGAGCAGTCAAAGCCACTGAAACTCTGGGAAAGAGAGAATGGCGTTTGGAGCTGTGTCGATTGGCGGCGGGAAAGTAGTCTTTGTGTAATGCGAAAACGGCAGAAGCACCTCCTGTAGCAGTATTAAATAAATAAATAATAATAATAATTACATCTCTAATTTTAATTAATTCATAAAAAAAACGCGTATTTTTTATATAATTAATGGGATAACCTGTACTTGTATTATTATCATTATTAATATAATTTTTATTCTATATGAATAAAAATAATTCTAACTATAATAGATAATAAATATAAATATCATATATAATATTATATATATTAATAATTTTAATTTTGAATCCACCTTTTTAAATCCATAGATAAAAATATTATCTAATTTAAAATATTATTAATTATAATTTACTTATTATTATTTTATTATTAACATTACGTATGTTAATAATTATAAATTGAAACGCACATTTGTTTGTATATAAAAATATAAGTATTTATAACAAATTATTCTAATAATTATTAGGAATTTTAT